GCAAGGCCTTCGCTTTTGTTTGTAGAGATTTTTTAAATCGTGTTTATATGAAGTATTGTTTGGACTAAAAATTGTTCTCTTGAAGTTGTCTTCTGGAATATAACGTAATTTTTACTTGATCTGGAGTCAGAGTCACATCCTGTAACGAGCTGGAGCGCAGCATCACAGATCGATATGGAGAAAACTGCACCTCCATTGGATGCTGGGAATCTCTGGGTGAGCTCGCTGCAGTGGCGGACCACGCAGAACTTATCACGCGTCCTCCACTTCAGATTGTCCATTATATTTGGAGAGTCTAACAGAATTATAATTAATATCTCTTTTCTTTTGAACTTCGCATTCCTCAGCTCAAACTGTTCATTAATTATCTTCAACAAATGAAAATATATCTACGCCTATAGTAGATTTATCTCGGCCGCCATGTTTCTTTGCTTTCTGTAAAATAATTACACATTAAAAAAGCTTTAACGCAAAATTTCAGGATCCGACATTAAGTGACTCCAGTTTCTCCCCATTGCCCTTGTAATATTCTTATGACAGAAAATTTAACATTCAAAAGTAGGATTGCGTGTAACGTGATTTACAAGCCAACTGTAATAACATTTTGTGAGCTGGTTCGAAAGTTGTCTGATCTGAGGGTTCAAATCTCCGCCCTTATCCTGACAGATTCGTGGCTTTACTCAGTCATCAGGCATGTTCTGGGATAATACTTTAAATTAGGCCATTGTCGCATGTTTTCACATCCTTCCCAATCCATACCATCTGATCATTCGAGTGAACAATTAACTGAAAACTTCGTTACATAAACTACGAATAAATAAACTCCCTTCCCTCAGATCTGTTTGTCGCTTTCCCCTGCGCAGAATTTAAAGGGTATTTGAATTTTAATTAATCTGTCCAAATGTAAATGAGAGAGCAGAGGGTTAAACTGAAAATGCTTAACTGTCGCTGGTTGTGCTCGGCTCGCGGCCTTATATTGCGATACTCTGCAGCACGCCACTGATTGGCGCCTGCGCGGTCGATTCCCTAGCTACATCCATGGCTGGGTCCAGGGTTCGCTGTCGTCTGAAGAAGACTGCAAAGTGTTGGGCGGCGGACTGAATAAACTGGTGTTGTGAGGGTGGCCCTACTGGATTCCTTCTCAGCCATTCTGTCACACTCTCCAGGGTGTTTAGGCTACTGCCATTTTGTGTCAGGATAAGCTTACGGAATAATTATGCATTATGTTTGTTTCTGTTTTGAGTCATTTAACAGGCTTTAATTGAATTAACCTTGGTATGGAAGTCAAGCCTCTTATAATTTAATTCTCAATTTCATATTATTCGTAGTGTCATCAAAGTGGCTTTGAAAACTTTTGGGCTGGGAGCTATACACACTTAAATTAACGTAGGTTCCAAAATGATTGTATGATAGATCTTCGAAAAAGTGCAGCTTTTGAAATATACTTTTTTTTTTTGTAGAATGTTCGGCTATTATCGCAGCAATAATGATTATTCGAAT